AGTAAGCTGGCGGTATAACAATAAATGTGAATGACTTAGTCTAATCAACAATTTTTCTCCATTTCCTTTTACAATTTTTCTAGTGTTTCAAACTTCCATCCAGTTCTTTGATCCGAAAGAAGATCCTTGGCCTGAAAAATAGTTTTTTAGCTTTTTCAGGAGGTCAATGTTGCTGCTCGTCAACAGAAGTTCGCATATAAAATCTTGCTAACATTATCAATTTCGCACATTAATTCATCATAGGTCAAATCTACAACTACCAATTTGAAAGGCAAAGAATCCATTTTCATTACTACAATGACCGAATACACCTTACAGGCAACACAGAATACGCCAGTTCAGAATTTCGACCGGAATTCTAAAATTATTTAATTAGGTTTTACACCTATGTACCACTGCCCAATGACATGCGCATTGATCTGGGTACATTTTATGTTTTATGTACCAGGACCCCCGAAAGAGTGAAAATATACTTTTTAAAGGCTTGGGAGTGCACAGGTAAAGATGAACAAAATTGATAAGATGGAGTGCTATATCGAATGGAGAGTACTGACCATAATTTGTCGGATAGATCGTGATCGCAAACCGATTACTATTACACAATGTTCTACCGGGTACATATAAAATCTTGCGAAACAATCATCAAAGACTGATCGCCTATACTCCAATGTAGGTAAATGCAAATGTTCTAACATGTCAACTCTATGATATTCAGTCATGTTTAAGTTCATCTTTAGTGTTGCAAATTGTAAAAATCTATGCTGGACACGCTCTAAATCTTTATAAGACTCGAACTGAGAGCATATTACTGTGACATATTCTAGATTTGATCTCACCAACGAGCAGTATAAAATTCGGAAGGTATTGATTATAAATATTTGAACCTTCTTCAAACAAAGTCCAGCATCTGCATGTCCTTTATACTAACCTTAAGAACATAGTTCCTTAAAGTTAAGCCTTTCATCAAATAGCACGCCAGCATCCTTAGGGGTAGCCTTATAAGAAAGGATATCTTTATTTATTTCATAGCCAGTGGAAATTCTACCCCTGCCTTTGTAAAAACTTATGAAGCGGCGTGTGGCCTCTTCTGTCAGACCCAAGAGCCTCATATGTCGATTTAAACACCAGTGTACTGTCAGGAGACAAAGTTCCTGGTGAATTCGAATAGGCCTCTGTAAAAGCAGGCCTTCGTTCTTTAATGAGCTTTTTGCCTGCCTTTGCCCCAACTAGCTGTTCCACCGTTCTAGGGTATTTTTTCTTGGTCCGATTAAAAAATCATCTTAGGAAATATGATCATGTAACTGGCCGAATCAAATATTTGGGATGGCTCCAAATTAATAACTTGTTCAAATATTCACTTTTGTCATTTGTAAAATTTTTCATAACAACTCATTCACCACTAACTACGTTTATGGACGAAACTAATATTCAGAACGAGCATTCATTATTTATAGTTAAGGTTTACGAGCACGTTATCCATTCCAAGACATCGCACAGCCATGTTTCAGAGCTCTTGCTCATATAACGCCGCTAAATATTATATTGCATTATACATATATCAGGAATACAACAAATCATCCAAAATTCAAGACACTATTAAAACAACATATTTTCAACACACAGTAACACAAAGATGTTGGTATTTATTCTATCACGTATACAGTAATAAGCATTTTAATAGTTTATAGTATTATACTCGTAATCAATTAATTTAGGCTTTTTTATATTCTAAAATATTGGTTGAGTAGATTGGCCAATGGCTAGATTTCGCTTATTTGCATCATACTTTTAACGTTATGTTGTAAAGTTCTATATAATTATTTATATTTCATTCCCTAGGGCAATACAATAATATACCGCCCGCGAGATATGAGTTACGAGATGTTACAAAAAAGTAATGATACTGTTTTTATTATTTACCTAAGCTTTTATCCCTTTACAGTAGTTCCCTTTCGCAGCCGCACACCAACGGAAACGTCTTGTTACGAGCGCTACAAGTCTTCAGCCAGTATGGCCTTCAGCACGTCCGTCACACTCTTTTGAATGTTTTCTGAGGTCCCCAAATGACATCATGCCAGGACAGTTTTCAGACAAAGAACTAAAATGTCACAGCGACTGAGATCAAGTGATTAGGGGGGGGGGCTGGGGAAACACTGAAATACAATTTCAAACATAAAATTTTGTATGTATCTCAAGCGTATACGTAAACGATCATATCATTTGGCATTTTAGAACTCGCGGCCCTAGATACATAAATAACTATTACCTACGAGCAGGTGGTAAAGTGTAATTCCTGAATGTATACGATTTAACCCCTTTAATTTTAGTCCGACGCTCAGACAACAGCTATTTCTCTACATGATGATATTGTCACATTAACGATATTGCTATAATCATGCACAGAAGCGGTTTATATTTTTTTAAGTTAAAACCGGGCTCTGGATTGAAATAATCAAGCATAAAATTTGCTTAGAAATGATTGGGGATCAACAATAATTTTTATCTGAAGAAAAATCAGTGGCGTGCCATTAATGTCTGCAGGTGAAATTCCATAGGAACGTGATTGGTGGAAATTGAAAAAATGTTGTAAATTAAAAATACATTTTGATGCCTAGTACATGTATCCCAAATTAAAATATCTGAAGTGGTATTTTGGATATTAATAAATAATTTATTTTTGAAAACTTTACCACCCGGTATCTCAAAAGTTGAGACGTTTATTTAGCACATACGTTCATATTATGAAGTTTACTTTTGACGATACAGAATCACGCTTCTCAAAAACCTCATCATTAAATTATTACTAAAGCTAGCATCTTTTTTATGAACACCACCATGTGAGGCACTGATTTCTTATTTGTCACCCCAGTATATCAAATTTGAATGCATTGTCGCACTTTTCGGCGAAGGTGTAAAATGCATTTTTTTCTAGTTTCTAATTTGGAGCGTAAAAATCTTTTTCATATTCTCCACATTATATTATTATGGATTCCTAAGTGGATATCTTTCAGGACAGTTTAGTAGCCAGTTTCGCTTTCTTGTGAAGTCAGTTTTGCTATGCTAAAATTTGAAACACAGAGGATTAACAATTCATACAGGTTTTTGTTACAGATATGGCATGAGAAACATATTTGACACATTTATCTTTATTAATGAGTATCTATGGCTGTCGTAAATATTGATATTTTGAGTCAATGATCAATTGAATCATTCCTTTCAAATCTATATATACTAAGTGACATATAAATCCGAACACCCAGTTTAAATGGTTCTATTTTAATAAAATTTTGTATAAGTACTTAATGAAGCATAATAAGTAAATGATAAAAATTTCAAAATGATTGCACTGCTTTAAAGCCCTTTGACCTTTAATAATGTGTGGATGCACCCTGATGTGCTACGCATTCTCCAACGCGCCTAGGCATGCTTCTGATCAGGTGGTCAATGTCCTCCTGTGCTGTGGTATCTCATTCCAGGCAACCACCAACTCCTCTCGAAGTGCTTCTAGAGTCTGAGGAGGACGTTGCAAATTGAGCAATCTCCTATCCATCATATCCCACACGTGCTCAATTGGGGATAAGTCGGGAGATCTTGGTGGCCATGGTAACAATGTGACATCATTATGTTGAAAGAAGTCTATTGTGACTCTTGCAACATGTTGCCGGGCGTTATCTTGTTGGAAAGTTGGATCTGCCAGGGTGTCAAGATAGGGTAAAAGATGGGATTCTAGAACTTCGTGGATATAACGCTGCGCGTTCATGTTACCTCTGATGAAGATTAAAGGTGACGTGGAACCATAAGCTATAGCACCCCAAGCCATAACTCCAACAGTGTGATGAACATGTCTTTCAACAAAAAACTGTGGATTCCTCCTTTCACCACGTCGCCTTCTAACCCTGGCACGACCATCTGGCATGCCTAAACAAAATCGAGACTCGTCACTAAAGACAATACTGTTCCATTCCTGATCCCAGAGTGACCGTTGTCTGCACCACTCAAGGCGATTACGTCGGTGTTCTCGAGTTAAAGGGAGGACCCAGTGTGGCCGGTATGAAAACAAGCCAAAACTTCTCATTCGTCGGTAAACACTTCGCATGCCAATAGGTCTTCCGTGTTCTGCAAACCATTCATTTGCAATGGACCTGGTAGTGGAGAAACGGTCCCTTAAGGCCAATAATCTTAGGCGGCGATCTTCACGGTCTGTTGTTCTACGGCGGCGGCCTTCTCGAAGCCATGCCTGACAACACCTAATCCCAGTGTCTACACTTCTTTGCACTCTAACTGCAATTGCCCGAAAAGAAAGTCCAGCTTCCCGAAGTCCCACTATACGGCCCCTATCAAACTCACTAAGTTGACGAAATCGTACAGGTCTCCGTACTCTAGGCATCGTAACCGATCGTAAAGGATGTCAAGAACCAAAATCCGCCAACGTTGATTCTTTACTGCGGCTGAAATATTCATTTTTAGAGCGTTAGTGAATTAAAAAAAAATCAGTATAAAAACCGGAATGTCCAACTGATAAGGCTGAAAATTTTTTCACTTGTTATTTACAGTAAGATAAATACTGCCCTCCTAAGCCAAACCCCCGTATTTGAAAAAAAATCGAAAACGAGATTTTTGGCTCTACAGTACTAAAATGTCGTGAATTTTCGTTTTTTCTATGTTAAAAAACCGTATCTGAAGCGGAAATGTATGAAATCAAGTAATGCTAAGCCCGTATTCGCAAAAAAATTAAAAAATACAAATGCCGAACCCCGTATTTGTGGTTTACTAAGAGCTTTCCTCGTATTTTTAACTGGATACGGGGTTTTTGTCTAGGAACTTCCAAATACGTGGTTTAAGCCTAGCAAGTCGACCTGTCGCCACCTGTCGTACGCAACGCGTGCAGGCGCAGGCGGTTTGATTAATATCAGTTTGCTGGTAACCTCCAAGTGGCACGTGGCGTGGCTTTACCCTAGGATCTCAATTTCGACCACAACGATTTTATAAAATCTAGAACAATGTGCTCATGGAGTAGCGGAAGCAGAGGAAAAAAGTTAGTTTCCCTGGCTACTATTTCTAAAGTTAATACAGTGAATTCAGAGGAAGAGCCTTGCTTAACTGCTCAGAATTATTATTGTGATGAAGATGTACTACAGGATGTACAGATGGAAGAATTCATACCAATTACCAAGAGTTGCGTAATTGATAATGGATCGATGACTATTCGATACATGGATTCAGCTGATACTGTTGGTGAGTAAAACTAAAATTTGGCTACGCTAGTGCATATTTTAATTCCACTGACCGAATAGAAATCCTTCCATAATTGAAAATAACTACCATGCATAGATGTAATCTGTACTTTTACCTTGTTACTGGGCAATTGCCTTTTCAAAATCGGCAAAACCATATGTTTTGATCTGATGTTATAGTAATTGTTATACTTTGGTGATAGAACGAATCCACCGACATAAAGATAGGACCTGATTCAAAATAGCTCATTTTCAGATCCAGAACATCATTCCACAAATAAAGGATACTGCTTGCAAGATATATCTAACAATGTGATTGACAAGGAATCTTGGAATCTCAGTGATATTTTAAGTTACGGTGAGCACAGCATACTAGTTATTAAAAATACCAGCAACTACTGTTCGATAGACCGTCCTTTTGAGAGTGATAGCTTTTTTTCTACTTTTTAGTGGATGGTCAGGCAAATGTGGAAGTGGAAGAAAAAAATATTCAAAATATGGAAGACGATAGTCGTGGGGATGAGAATAGAAGGGAACCTATGAAAAATGATGCAAATCAAATAATAGAAGAAACAGAGATTGTAGAAGAGGAGAATGAAACTAAAGGGTATGAGGAAGCAGGTAAGCGTGTACTATCTACTACTACAGCAAGCATTATTGCACCTGTAAGGTATAATTTCAGATCCATATGAAACAGTTGAAGGCCACACAAAAAAAGGCGAAGAAAGAAAAAGAAAAAAATACAAACTGTCCAAGGAAGTGAGAGCTGAAACTAAGAAAAACAAGGTAATCTCGCTTCATAAGGTCAGAGAAGGCTGTATAAACTGTAAGCTCAAATGTCGGACATTCTTTACCGAGGAGGAGAGAAACACCACAAACCACGAATTTTGGAAGTTGGACTGGAAGGGAAAACGAACATTTGTGATGAACTCGACAGAGAATAGAACACCAAAGAGAAAAGTAGAAGGTTCAAAGAAAAACAAGACATTCACATATTTTCTGAAAGATTCTAGTGGTACAACAAGACGTGTCTGTAAAATATTTTTCCTAACAACATTGGGATATAAAAAAACGAATGACTGGATAATCCATTCGGTGTGGGCAAATGCTAATAGCAAAAATCAGTTACAAAATGATTTAGACCGCCGAGGTAGGCATCCTCCTCCAAACAAGTTGTCTAATAAGATTATAGAAAGCCATATTGACTCATTTAATCCATCTGTATCTCACTATAGAAGAGTCCATGCTCCTAATCGTCTATATTTGCCGAGTGACTTGAATGTCACCCTTATGTTTGAAGACTATAAAAAAAGATATCCCGATTACATTTGCTCCTATGAAAAATATAGAAAAATCCTCAAGGCGAAAAATATATCGTTCGCAAAATTAGGAAATGAGGAATGTGAACTCTGTGAGTCGTACCATATGCATAATTCCGAACATAAAGCTGAGTCCTTAAGTGATGATTGCGAGGTATGCTGCAGCTGGAAGGATCACATTATGAAAGCAAAAGAATCTCGTGAGAGATACTCACTAAATAAGGAAAACTGCAACAAAGACAAAGGAAATTTGTGCTTTTCTGTTGATCTTCAAAAAGTAAATGTTGCCTAGACTTGAAATGTTTAAAAAAGCGATCTTTGCTTCTCGCCTAATAGTTTACAATGAAAGTTTTGTGCCAGTTGGTAAAATTAGAGATTTTCCTCCATTTGCCGTATTGTGGCATGAAGGCATCAGCGGACGACACCAAGAAGATATTATTAGTGCCTTCAACGCATTTCTTCTTCACCACAGGGATGTCCGCAATATCACTCTATGGTTGGACAATTGTTCTAGCCAGAATAAAAACTGGGCATTATTCTCCTTTCTTGTTTATATTGTGAACTCAACAAGTATATCCGCTGAGACCATTCACTTGAACTATTTTGAACCAGGTCATACCTTTATGTCGGCGGATTCGTTCCACCACCAAGTAGAAGAATCACTAAAGCGTCAAGTCAAAAGATATGATTTTGCAGACTTTGAGAAGGCAGTACAGTCCAGCAATAAGGGAAAGGTACCAATCAAATCCATGAAACTGAATGATTTTCAATTGTGGAAAAGTCTCCATTCAGTTAGTAAAATTAAGAAACAGGATCCCAGTTTTACTATGAGTAAAATAACGGAATTAATGGTAAAGAGGACTGAATTTGTGATGTACTACAAACGTAATTTTGAGGAAGAATGGAAGAAACTAGATTTTTTGCTAAAAAAACATATTGGTGAAATGCCAACAGCCACAATAAAAACGGCACCAAATGGCTTTGAGCGTCAAAAAGTTGAAAACCTGCTTAAAGCGGTTGGTTCCATTATGCCAGGTAACAGGAAATAATTTTGGGAGAAACTTCCAGAAAAAGTTATCTAGTAAGTGTTCTTTTATTATATTTAATGTGTTCACCATAAAATAAAGTAATTAAAAGCTGGTGTGTTACTAAATTCATTTTCATCTACCAAGTACCTCAATTCCCAACGACTGATATAAAAAATACGATTATTATGACAAATATAAATTTGATAATGTCCTAGAACAAATGCCCGTATTCGCCAAATACGGGGTTATTGCATAGGAAATTGGTGTAACAGAACTAAAAAAAATCCTCGTATGTCAATTTATACTTGTAAAAACAATCAAACAAGGTTGTTTATGTAGACCACATAATTTTAGAGCCCTTATTACTCAATATGGACATCAATTATTAATACCATGGACGTCCGTTAAAGCTACAAACAAAAAGAAACTTCAAATTGATATTGCGCCACTTTCCAATATTTCCGAATACGGGGGTTTAGCTTATGAGGGCAGAATACATTCACCAACTTTTATTAAAATAAAGCCATTTAAACTGGGTGTTCGGATTTATATGTCACTTAGTATAGATTAAAAGATTATATCATTGCCACATTTTAACATAAAAAAGTGACATCCATTTGTGGTTCAAGGTTCCTTATGAGGTGGTGACGCTCATGACAACACGCTAACATCTGCCTGTGCATATTTCTGAATATTCCACTGTATTTTTGAGTTTTTATTGAAATCCAAGGCAATTTTTAGACAGATTTCAAACCCCAAAGGAAAAGCTTCTACGTAGATGAGATAGTTATTATCAAACATTGTTGCGTTTTCAGGTGTCAGCAAACGATCAAGGCACATTTTATACTCGTAAAAAATCACACATTGACAACAGATACAGCTGTTATCGAGTCTATAGACTGATATAAGTAACGAATCTGTCCCATACCAAAGCCTATGATGAAACGATGCAAGGTTGCGCACATGACAGGTAGTTTCTTGGACGGCCGCGAAGTAGATTGAAAATACTTTGCCAAGTTACCTGCCAATGCTGACATTTCAGTAAAAAACGAGTGAAAGTAATTCCAAAGTTAAGGTAGAAGTACTTTCCAGGATCATTGAGGCCAACTTCACCAAGGCTGAAAATTTTTTCACTTGTTATTTACAGTAAGATAAATACATTCACCAACTTTTATTAAAATAAAACCATTTAAACTGGGTGTTCGGATTTATATGTCACTTAGTATATATCTCTACTAACTGGTGTATATACACAGAAATTGAGTTGATATTCTCTAGTATTATACAAGTTGTTTTAGGGATAAAAGCTATAAGATATTTTCTCAGCTACCGTCAGTGACTTTAGATTTTACCTTGACCATGATCTTGAAGATGAATTTAAGGTCAACTTCAAAATTTTATTTACTTTTTATCCCCTCAATGAAATGATCGTAAGGAAGTGCTTCATATAAAAGTTGTGCGACTTTTACTCAGCTATCGGAAAGTGACCTTGAATTATACCTCGACCTGGACCTTCAAGGTCCTTTAGAGGTCAAACAAAGTTTTCGGGTCATTTCGTTGCTGAATTGAAGCATATCCCCCTAAAATGCATTCTTGAAGAGTTATCAAGGGCTAGTCGTAGTTTGACCCGAGAGATTACTAAAGGTCAGATATCGCCGTAATTCAAGGTCATATACGAGCCCCTTCCCACTTCAGTTGGCCCACTTTAAGATTTGTACCAAAATATGCCTTTATAAACTAAACATGACGTAACTATTTACTTCTAAAACAATTTATTTTCTCAAAACCATTTAGTCGTAAAAAATACATATTTGAAATCACTTAGACCTACTCGTATAACTAATAGAACATCTGAACAAATAAACAATGTGCGAATAGATGCGCGAAGTTAACAAAGCAACACTTGAAAGATTACCATTGGGTAACATCACCATTATTTTTTATTACGGCTGAAATTCTTTGGGACATAGTGTTAACCAAGTTTTGGCAAAAATTTGGTGTAAAACAATCCCATATTTCTTGAAGCTTTTGTCTCAGTTCGGTGATTGTAGTAGAACCTTTTTCATCTCGTGCCACAAAGTTTCAATAGATGACAGGTATGGACTGCTAGAAACCCATTTCAAAAGTAGTACATTATTTTCTTCCATTCATTTTATAGCCTTTTTTGAGGTATGGCACGCTGCACCGTCTTGCTGAAACACAAAATCTTGGCCGGATGTCAAACATTCTTCCATCACTGGTACAAGCGATTCTTCTAAAATTGCCAAATATTTGTTTGTATCCACATTTCCATCAATAAAATGAAGTTTTCCTACTCCTTTTGATGACATACTGCCCCAGACCATAATGGATGCTGGACATTTCACTTTTCTCTTCAGACAGTCAACATGGAATGCTTCATTTTTTTTGCGAATAACTCTACTGCGACTGTCACCAACACTAACTTCGAATCGGGGCTCATCACTCCATTGTATTGCACACCATTGTTGAGGAGTCTATTGTCTATGTTCTTTAGCCCATCTAAGCCGATTTTGCTTTTGAAGTGGAGTTAATAGTGGCTTTTCTTTGGCCTATAAACAAGTTGTGCAGCTTTAGGGTTTTTACTTCACTTTTTTTATAAGAAAACTTACCTTGCCCAGTTTGTGGGCCTCTCTATGAGTTGTGGACTTCGAAATTCTTCTTCCAACAGCGTCACTCCACAGAGCACTTAATTGTAAATAATAAATAATAATGAAATTTTAAACCTACAACACCTTGCTATATTTTTATCATCTGTGTTTGATAAGAAAAAAATTAAGATTTCAATAGTTTTGCCAACTGAAGTGGGAAGGGGCTCGTATAAACGTAGCATTTACCGTTTGTTTGATTGCTGGAATCACAAGTATGGGTTTAAGTTTGAAGTTGACCTTCAAATAACATTTAAGGTCAAGATTAATGTCACATTCAAGATCACCAAGGTAAAATGCTACAACTTTTATTTGAAGCATTTTTTTCTAAAATGCATTCCCAGAGAGTTATCGAGCCGTTCCGGTAGTTTTAACACACCCTGTATGTGTATTAGTTTTCCCATGCATCTTTGAGTACAGCAACCAAAACCAACGTCAGACGAACTTTTTGTGTTACCACTAGAGTAACTTTTGTAAAGACGTCAATTTGGTGTTATTGACTTTCCAAATCAAAATAAAACAAATTAATCTCAAACTATAATCATCGCACTGCTTTGGCCTTTTCAACATCTCAGGAGATAACCTTATGAAAACATAAATATTGTAAATGTTTGGTAACAGACTTGTAACGATATTTACGAAGATTGGGAGTAAAAGATAAATACTAAAAGACTATCTTAAATTAACAAGGCTATGTACCTATCATTTATAAATTAACTAATATAAACATCGACGGGGTAATTGAAATTTTATCGACAATTCCAAGACGTTACGACAAAAGGCGTGCATCAAGACAATATATTTTCCATGCACCAGTGGAGTAGGATTTTAGTCGTGAAATATGAAAACTTCTAACGCTTAATTTTCGAATTTCAAGTAGCAGGATTTTTTTGTTGATTCATAACACGTCGCGAAAATTTATTTTACCAATTTCGTTATTCTTGGGGCGATTTTCTACCGCAGAATCTCACAATGATTTTGCTGAAATTTGGATAGCGACATCAGGTCGTGAGTGGATACATACTTTATTTTCAAAATCTACAGTCACGACGGAAATATAAGCACATTACAAAACAGTCGCACTATTCAATGAGTCAGGTTGAACCTGTTATTCCACATAATGTCCTTCACCCATTCCAAAGAATTCCAGGTTTTGCAGTCACTCAAAGTTCGAAGTAAAATAATGATGGTGGAAGAAATTTTGATTTGTTTGTCCTTGAGCTCTTGAGCATAGCAATATTTCCAGAAACTTTTACTTTCTCTTGGAGGCTTCATAAGAAACGCATGTAAATTTTTTAATTCACTCAATGTCCACTAGTTCAAACACTGTCTGCGTTTTAGTAGTTGCCAGTTGCCAATTAAAAATACCATCAAAACTAATACGAGACATTAATCGACATGTAGATTATGTACCATGTAACTTAAAGTTCATTATACTGTAAAAGATACTCCCCCTCTTC